TGCCTGTGTGTCACTTGCCTGCCTGTGTGTCACTTGCCTGCCTGTGTGTCACTTGCCTGCCTGTGTGTCACTTGCCTGCCTGTGTGTCACTTGCCTGCCTGTGTGTCACTTGCCTGCCTGTGTGTCACTTGCCTGCCTGTGTGTCACTTGCCTGCCTGTGTGTCACTTGCCTGCCTGTGTGTCACTTGCCTGCCTGTGTGTCACTTGCCTGCCTGTGTGTCACTTGCCTGCCTGTGTGTCACTTGCCTGCCTGTGTGTCACTTGCCTGCCTGTGTGTCACTTGCCTGCCTGTGTGTCACTTGCCTGCCTGTGTGTCACTTGCCTGCCTGTGTGTCACTTGCCTGCCTGTGTGTCACTTGCCTGCCTGTGTGTCACTTGCCTGCCTGTGTGTCACTTGCCTGCCTGTGTGTCACTTGCCTGCCTGTGTGTCACTTGCCTGCCTGTGTGTCACTTGCCTGCCTGTGTGTCACTTGCCTGCCTGTGTGTCACTTGCCTGCCTGTGTGTCACTTGCCTGCCTGTGTGTCACTTGCCTGCCTGTGTGTCACTTGCCTGCCTGTGTGTCACTTGCCTGCCTGTGTGTCACTTGCCTGCCTGTGTGTCACTTGCCTGCCTGTGTGTCACTTGCCTGCCTGTGTGTCACTTGCCTGCCTGTGTGTCACTTGCCTGCCTGTGTGTCACTTGCCTGCCTGTGTGTCACTTGCCTGCCTGTGTGTCACTTGCCTGCCTGTGTGTCACTTGCCTGCCTGTGTGTCACTTGCCTGCCTGTGTGTCACTTGCCTGCCTGTGTGTCACTTGCCTGCCTGTGTGTCACTTGCCTGCCTGTGTGTCACTTGCCTGCCTGTGTGTCACTTGCCTGCCTGTGTGTCACTTGCCTGCCTGTGTGTCACTTGCCTGCCTGTGTGTCACTTGCCTGCCTGTGTGTCACTTGCCTGCCTGTGTGTCACTTGCCTGCCTGTGTGTCACTTGCCTGCCTGTGTGTCACTTGCCTGCCTGTGTGTCACTTGCCTGCCTGTGTGTCACTTGCCTGCCTGTGTGTCACTTGCCTGCCTGTGTGTCACTTGCCTGCCTGTGTGTCACTTGCCTGCCTGTGTGTCACTTGCCTGCCTGTGTGTCACTTGCCTGCCTGTGTGTCACTTGCCTGCCTGTGTGTCACTTGCCTGCCTGTGTGTCACTTGCCTGCCTGTGTGTCACTTGCCTGCCTGTGTGTCACTTGCCTGCCTGTGTGTCACTTGCCTGCCTGTGTGTCACTTGCCTGCCTGTGTGTCACTTGCCTGCCTGTGTGTCACTTGCCTGCCTGTGTGTCACTTGCCTGCCTGTGTGTCACTTGCCTGCCTGTGTGTCACTTGCCTGCCTGTGTGTCACTTGCCTGCCTGTGTGTCACTTGCCTGCCTGTGTGTCACTTGCCTGCCTGTGTGTCACTTGCCTGCCTGTGTGTCACTTGCCTGCCTGTGTGTCACTTGCCTGCCTGTGTGTCACTTGCCTGCCTGTGTGTCACTTGCCTGCCTGTGTGTCACTTGCCTGCCTGTGTGTCACTTGCCTGCCTGTGTGTCACTTGCCTGCCTGTGTGTCACTTGCCTGCCTGTGTGTCACTTGCCTGCCTGTGTGTCACTTGCCTGCCTGTGTGTCACTTGCCTGCCTGTGTGTCACTTGCCTGCCTGTGTGTCACTTGCCTGCCTGTGTGTCACTTGCCTGCCTGTGTGTCACTTGCCTGCCTGTGTGTCACTTGCCTGCCTGTGTGTCACTTGCCTGCCTGTGTGTCACTTGCCTGCCTGTGTGTCACTTGCCTGCCTGTGTGTCACTTGCCTGCCTGTGTGTCACTTGCCTGCCTGTGTGTCACTTGCCTGCCTGTGTGTCACTTGCCTGCCTGTGTGTCACTTGCCTGCCTGTGTGTCACTTGCCTGCCTGTGTGTCACTTGCCTGCCTGTGTGTCACTTGCCTGCCTGTGTGTCACTTGCCTGCCTGTGTGTCACTTGCCTGCCTGTGTGTCACTTGCCTGCCTGTGTGTCACTTGCCTGCCTGTGTGTCACTTGCCTGCCTGTGTGTCACTTGCCTGCCTGTGTGTCACTTGCCTGCCTGTGTGTCACTTGCCTGCCTGTGTGTCACTTGCCTGCCTGTGTGTCACTTGCCTGCCTGTGTGTCACTTGCCTGCCTGTGTGTCACTTGCCTGCCTGTGTGTCACTTGCCTGCCTGTGTGTCACTTGCCTGCCTGTGTGTCACTTGCCTGCCTGTGTGTCACTTGCCTGCCTGTGTGTCACTTGCCTGCCTGTGTGTCACTTGCCTGCCTGTGTGTCACTTGCCTGCCTGTGTGTCACTTGCCTGCCTGTGTGTCACTTGCCTGCCTGTGTGTCACTTGCCTGCCTGTGTGTCACTTGCCTGCCTGTGTGTCACTTGCCTGCCTGTGTGTCACTTGCCTGCCTGTGTGTCACTTGCCTGCCTGTGTGTCACTTGCCTGCCTGTGTGTCACTTGCCTGCCTGTGTGTCACTTGCCTGCCTGTGTGTCACTTGCCTGCCTGTGTGTCACTTGCCTGCCTGTGTGTCACTTGCCTGCCTGTGTGTCACTTGCCTGCCTGTGTGTCACTTGCCTGCCTGTGTGTCACTTGCCTGCCTGTGTGTCACTTGCCTGCCTGTGTGTCACTTGCCTGCCTGTGTGTCACTTGCCTGCCTGTGTGTCACTTGCCTGCCTGTGTGTCACTTGCCTGCCTGTGTGTCACTTGCCTGCCTGTGTGTCACTTGCCTGCCTGTGTGTCACTTGCCTGCCTGTGTGTCACTTGCCTGCCTGTGTGTCACTTGCCTGCCTGTGTGTCACTTGCCTGCCTGTGTGTCACTTGCCTGCCTGTGTGTCACTTGCCTGCCTGTGTGTCACTTGCCTGCCTGTGTGTCACTTGCCTGCCTGTGTGTCACTTGCCTGCCTGTGTGTCACTTGCCTGCCTGTGTGTCACTTGCCTGCCTGTGTGTCACTTGCCTGCCTGTGTGTCACTTGCCTGCCTGTGTGTCACTTGCCTGCCTGTGTGTCACTTGCCTGCCTGTGTGTCACTTGCCTGCCTGTGTGTCACTTGCCTGCCTGTGTGTCACTTGCCTGCCTGTGTGTCACTTGCCTGCCTGTGTGTCACTTGCCTGCCTGTGTGTCACTTGCCTGCCTGTGTGTCACTTGCCTGCCTGTGTGTCACTTGCCTGCCTGTGTGTCACTTGCCTGCCTGTGTGTCACTTGCCTGCCTGTGTGTCACTTGCCTGCCTGTGTGTCACTTGCCTGCCTGTGTGTCACTTGCCTGCCTGTGTGTCACTTGCCTGCCTGTGTGTCACTTGCCTGCCTGTGTGTCACTTGCCTGCCTGTGTGTCACTTGCCTGCCTGTGTGTCACTTGCCTGCCTGTGTGTCACTTGCCTGCCTGTGTGTCACTTGCCTGCCTGTGTGTCACTTGCCTGCCTGTGTGTCACTTGCCTGCCTGTGTGTCACTTGCCTGCCTGTGTGTCACTTGCCTGCCTGTGTGTCACTTGCCTGCCTGTGTGTCACTTGCCTGCCTGTGTGTCACTTGCCTGCCTGTGTGTCACTTGCCTGCCTGTGTGTCACTTGCCTGCCTGTGTGTCACTTGCCTGCCTGTGTGTCACTTGCCTGCCTGTGTGTCACTTGCCTGCCTGTGTGTCACTTGCCTGCCTGTGTGTCACTTGCCTGCCTGTGTGTCACTTGCCTGCCTGTGTGTCACTTGCCTGCCTGTGTGTCACTTGCCTGCCTGTGTGTCACTTGCCTGCCTGTGTGTCACTTGCCTGCCTGTGTGTCACTTGCCTGCCTGTGTGTCACTTGCCTGCCTGTGTGTCACTTGACTTGCATTGCACCCCCGTACATCCACCCACCTCCTCATGCTTCATCCTCCCTACCGCCATCTGCTCATTAGCTCCACTCGTGGGAGAGCAGGCATGCACTCCTCTCACTCTTCCTCCCGCTCAACGCTCTCTTCCTCCCACTTCTTGTCCCTCTCTTTCTCACACCTCTCGTTTCCCACTCTTCCGCAGACTTGCGTGGGAATCGCTCTCTGCTTTCCTCCCTCTCTCCCGCTCGCCCCTCCTTCCCCCACCCCCACCTCTGCCCCTCTCTCCCTCTCCTCCCCCATACCTCATCCACCCTACCCCCCTGTCCGACCGTGCATACCCTACTGCCCCGCCCTTGCTCGCCTGCCCTGTCGCTCCAAGCATACCTCTCCCGCCAACTCTCAGGCATGCAATGCTGTAGCAGTGGTGTTGAACCTCCAACGCGATGGCTCTCCTCTCCTCTCCAAGCATACCTCTATTTCCCACACCCCACTCCCCTCTTCTGATCGCCCACGCCCCGTTTCCTCTCCACGCCTGTCTCCCAGGCGTGCAATGCAGCAGCGGTCGCGTTCTACCTCAACGCGACGCTCCTCCTCCCGCGCTTCCTCTCCTTCTCCGCAGCCAGGTGATCCACCTCCCCCAGCTTCAGCCTGATCCAAAATCTTTCGTTTCCTGCGTTTAAGGTACACATGGAATCACAGCACGAGCCACACGGTTATGAACTTTAAGCAGGGTGATTTGTAATCGACCCAAAAAGAGCTGCGCAGGAAACGGAAGCCATTGAAACACGTGAATTTAGTTGGTTTCGAACTGCAGCAAGCCTACTAAGAGTTTACGATCGATCTATAGAACTAATTTTACTAATCTGAGAAGCAAGGGAAGTCGTAAGCAACGGTCTTTTAGTCAGAACGCCAGACACATACGCCCGGATGCGCATGCAAATGCGTTTCGGCCAGCAAAGGTGTGTTACTGCGCCCACCCGCGCATGCGTGCGTGCATGCGTGCGTGCGCGCGCGCGTGTGTGTGTGTGCACGCGCGCGCGCACTTGCACTCGTGCATGAACGTGTGCATGTTGTGCATGAGTATCCGGTCTTTAGGGGCTGGGTGTGCATGAGAGAAGTGAGGGGAGTGTGGGAGAGAGTGTGGTGGGGGTGTCATAGGGTAGGGAGTGTGATGGAGATTGCAAGTGTGTGGGGGATGGGAATGTGAGGCGGGTGTGCGTGTGGGGGGAGCGCATGTGCTCCAGCCAGTTCAAGGGGGTGTTCGACATGGATCACTTCATCTCACTAAGGGGGTGAAGCACAATTCGGGCAAGTAAAGGGGGTGTTATCGCTCTTTACTTGCCTGTATTGTGCTTGCTTCTGTGCATGCAACTGTGTGCGCTGTGCGGTGGTGCGAATTGCGTGTGAGGGGAGGGTGCCATTCAGCCAGTTTGGAGAGTTGTTTGACACCAACCTCTTCATCTCATCGCCCTCTGCTTTCTTGTCTTGTTGTGCTTGCTTCCATGCATGGGACTGTGTGCGGGTGTTGGGTGGGGGGTTTGTGCATGCGTGTGAGGGGAGGGCGCCATTCAGCCAGTTCGGGGAGGTCTTTGACTCGGATCACTTCATTTCATCGCTCGAGCCTCAAGTCAGGGTCATCAGGAAGCTTCCGCCCTCCTTCCAGTCACTCGATGTCAACATCATGGGAGTCAACGTGAGTCTTTGTTCTTGTTGTGAGTCAGCACAGGAGGGAAACAGCAATCCCACTTTTCTCTTTGCGCTTTCAATGTCGTAGTCCGGTGTCGGAGTAGGAGCAGGCAGTTTCGTGGGTTGCGTTTTGTACACAGAATCCCATCCCAACCCAACGGAAATAATGCCACCAGAATCTCCGAGCCTTGAAGATTTGCTGTGTGCTTGAGGGCTGGAGGGCTTGAGGGCTGGAGGGCTTGAGGGCTTGAGCGCTGGAGTTGCAGATCTGAGCGCGGGGAATGCAGATCTGGGCGCTGGAGTTGCAGATCTGAGCGCGGGGAATGCAGATCTGGGCGCTGGAGTTGCAGATCTGGACGTGCCTTGGAGGGCAGCGCCTTAGGGGGCGCACGGGGAGGGAGGACAGCGCCTTAAGGGTGCGTGAAGGGAGGGCAGCTCCGTGGGTGGGGCTAGATCTGAGGAACGGGGAGGAATAGATGTGAGCTCGGGAGGAGTAGATCTAAGCTCGGGAGGAGTAGATGTGAGCTCGGGAGGAGTAGATCTGAGCTCGGGAGGAGTAGATCTGAGCTCGGGAGGAGTAGATGTGAGCTCGGGAGGAGTAGATCTGAGCTCGGGAGGAGTAGATCTGAGCTCGGGAGGAGTAGATGTGAGCTCGGGAGGAGTAGATCTGAGCTCGGGGGGGATAGATCTGAGCTCGGGAGGAGTAGATGTGAGCTTGGGAGGAGTAGATCTGAGCTTGGGACGAGTAGATGTGAGCTCGGGAGGAGTAGATCGGAGCTCGAGAGGAGTAGATCTGAGCTTGGGAGCACCGTAGTAGGACTAGGTCTGAGGGACGGGGAGGAGAGGGTGGCCTTAGGATCGAGGGATTAAGGCGTGAGCCAATAGCTCATGATACCATGTTGAAAAGCTAGAAGAGATACATTGAATAATGAGCCAAGAGGCCCTTTAGTACAAACAATGAGCAAGAGAGAGATGAAAGGGAAGCTTACCCTATTGGCCAATAAGTTGGCCAATGGGTGAGCTTGCTTGTGACCCAAGCAACCACAAATGTGTGTTGGTTGGGATTGGTTGAGCTAGGGACCAATCCCAACCAACCACAAAATGTGGTTGGAGGGTACACTAAACAACCCCCAATTTATAAGTGTACTACAGATCTAATTCTAGCCTATGTATGTTGTACAAATTATGAAATTACAACAGGAGGGTGTGAGGGTGTGACGGGTCATGAAGAAGAGCAGCAGTGTGAAGGATTGTTTTAGCAAAGAACTATAGTCACCTGTTTGACCCTCAAACAAAATAAACTAGAATCCCTGAAGTTTTGCTGTTTGCTGGAGGGCTCGAGGATTTGCTGGCTGGCGGTCATATCAGGCTTGCTATGGATGGCAATGGCATGGCACAACAACATGCCATTGATTGAGCCCTTCTCTTCCCGCAGTTTATGGTTGGAAGCAAGGATAGGCATACATGAAAATCTTGCATTCATGAACATACGTGTATAATTTCAGGCATTTGCAAACCGCCTGCCCAGTTCCTGCAACTCTTTTTCCACTCTAGCTGTTTCCTCCCCGAACCTCCTTTCCCCCCACTATCTCTTACCCCACCCCCATCTCCACCCCCTCTGTAAGCAGGTATCAGAGCCGCAGTTTCCCGGGAGGTACCTATGCAACTATTTCTGCACCTCTAGAGGCGCCTCAAGATACCTCTTCCCCTTCCTGTTGTACCTTTGTTATCCCCTAGCCTCATCAGCCATAGCAACCCCAGCAGCCTCACAGTCCTAGCAACCACAGAAGTCACAGCAGTCATAGAAGCCAGAGCAACTAAAACAACCTCAACTGCCACAGCAGCCACATTAGGCACAACAGGCGCCGCAACCACATCAGGCAAATCAAGCAAAGGAGCCAAAGCAGCCAGAGCAGCCTTAGCAATCTCAACTGCCACTGCAGCCATAGTAGGCACAACAGTCACTGCGGTCACATCAGGCAGATCAAGCAAAAGAGCCACAGCAACAAGAGCAGCCTGCTTGGATGAAGCAGTCAGAAAAGTCAACTCTGTTCAAGCAGTCAGAGCTGCCAAAAAAACCATAGTAGCGTCTGTAGCCACAGCAGCCGCAGAGAGGACAAGTTGGACCCACTCCTGTTTGTCTATCTCTCCTCTCTGTGGTTGTTGTGACTGCAGACGCTGCTATCGTTTTTTTTACTGCTCTGGCTGCTTTAACGAAACTGACCTTTTTTTGCTGCCTTAACCAAGCTGACTGCTCTGGCTGCTTTGGCTCCTTTGCTTGATCTGCCTGATGTGCCTACTGTGCCTGTGGTGCGTGATATGGCTGATGTGGAAGTTGGGGTTGCTAGGGCTGCTGTGGCTGTTTTGGCTTCTTTGCTTGATCTGCCTGATGTGCCTATTGTGGCTGCTATGGCAATTGGGGTTGCTATGGTCTCTCTGGAAGCAAATATTGGAAAAGCACTTTCCCCCCAGGGGGCGCCAATTCAGCCCTTTTTACGCCTGTCGAGGCAGCCCAAGGCACCTTAAACGGTCCTTTGTATGGATTCAAGCGAGGTACAAAATTTGCAAATTCATTTGGTAATAGCCTTACTCTATCTCTACCTTGTACCTCTTCCTCCTTTTCTCCCCCCCTCCTCTTCCCTGTTCTTTCCTCCGCTGCAAGCAGGTATCTGAGAAGCAGTTCCCTCGGGAAGTGCCCCTGCAGCTCTTTCTGCGCCTGGTGCCGCTGATGAGGCGCGTGGGGCTCATCCATTTCCACGGCTTCCTCAACGCCCTCGCCTCCGACCCCATGCCAGCACATGTCCAGGTGCGCTCAGCACCACACTGCACCGCACAGTATGTTGTGAAATGCTGCAAGGCACCTGCACCGCACAGCACTGTGTGCCGCTGATGAGGCGGGTGGGGCTTGTCCAGTTCAGTCTTCAAAGCCTTCCTCAATGCCCTCGCCTCCGACCTCATGCCACCGCATGTGTAGGTTTGTTACAGCACGCTCGGCACTGCACTGCACCACACAATGCGTTTTGAGACGTCTAGAAACACCACTTTGCTTTGCATCACTCGGTACTGGACCCCTCTGCACCGCACCGTGTGTCGCTGATAAGTGGGTGTCCTCGCTGCACTTCCATTGCTTCCTCACTGGCCTGGTCTCACATGCCATGCCTCTCCACATTCAGGATTTCACTGCACCGCACTGCACCATTCACAGTTCACTACACTGCACTGCACTACATTCAGGATTTCACTGCACTGCACTACATCACAGTTCACCACAGCTCACTCCCAGGGCTTCCTCACCCATTGCACCTTCAAACCCCATGCTTCCGGCTGTGCTAAAAACACACACAGTTCACTCTATGCCGCATTGGACCACACCATGCCGCATTGGATCACACCATGCCGCATTGGACCACACCATGCCGCATTGGACCACACCATGCCGCAGTGTTCACCGCTTCTGACATCTCACCTCCCCCCAGTATATTGTCTCTCACTTCCAGCCCAATTCCTAGCTCACTCGTCTCACCTCATCTCATCTCCTCCCATTAGCCTGTTTCCTACAATCCGTCTTCTATCCTACTATCCTTCTCCCTCACACCCTCACCTCTTCCCGCCCCCACTCCCCTCTCCCTCCTTTCATCCCATCCCATCTCCCCTCTGACAGCTCCTGCGCTGTCGATGCATGTTCCACGCCCTCACCTCCTCCCAACCCCACTCCCCTCTCTCCCCTCTCCCATTCCCGCCCTTTCCCCCCTTCACCCCAACAGCGCTTACGCTGTCGCTGCATGTTCCACGCCCTCACCTTCCTGCCAGCCGTCCATGCCACCGCACAGCTGGCCATCCAACGGCTGAGATCGGCTGCTGGGGCGCTGCTACGTGTGCAGGACAATTGGATGGATGGGGAGGACGAAGCAGGGAAACAAGGTGCTGGAAATGAGGATAATCAAGGCAAAATTAAGGAGAGAGAAAGGGTGGAAGGCCAGGTTGAAAGTCAGGTGAAAATTCAGGTGAAAAATCAGGTGAACGGCACATCTGGTGAGGTATACAGGGACACAGGCCCCCTGGATTCTCAAGAGCCCCCAGCAGGCATCCCTCGCTACGTGGCGGCTCACATCCCCTTTGACGCTGTCTCTGCCGCCTACTCCCTCTGCTCCTTCACCCCTCGCCACCACCACAACGATCACCACAACCACACCAAACACCAGAACCAACACGACAACCAGTACCAGCACCAAGGCCAAGACCAAAACCGACATGAGAGCAACAATCAGTACCAAGGTCAGGAGCGAGACGAGGCAGACAAAGAAGCGGAGGAGGAAGCGGAGCAGCTGAGGGACATCCGGAGGTTACTCTTCCCGGTGCTGCACGCGTACGAGCAGCAGGGCCGACTCAACGCCCCCGACTGGTACCGCCGCATCGGCCGCTGCCCCGTTGCCCCTGAAGAGGCGGCTCTCGTGCTGGCCGGCATGGGCGTGGGGAGATTTCGTCCGGTGTTTCTGGTAGGGGTTTCTGCTGAGCCATGCAGGCTGGTGCTTGGAGGTGAAGGGGTGGTGGGTGGGTGGGATGGTGGGATGCAGGGTGGGAGGGAGGAAGAGTGGCGGGAGGAGGAGGGGTGGCGAGGGGGTGTGTGGGAGCAGGAGCAGGAGAGGCGGATTAGGGCGCAGCAGGAGGAGCAGCTGAGGGGGCAGGGCAGGCGGTGGTTCAATGGGTGCCGGCGGTTGGAGGCAGTGCGAGCGCTCTTCCCCTCCCTCTGGTCCATTGATACCCTCCTCTCCCCACAAGAGATCGCGCCCTACTCGCACTCGCCACTCCTGGTGAGTTTTGAGTTCACTCAACACTGGAGGCAGTGCGGGCGCTCTTTCCCTCCCTCTGGTCCATTGATACCCTCCTCTCCCCACGCGAAATCGCCCCCTACTCACACTCGCCTCTCCTGGTATGACATCTCCGTTCCTTTCCATGTGCCTTTCACCATGATGCTGAAGGGTGTTGTTGAGAATTATCAAAAAGGTGTTTTTGAGAATTCTCAACAACACTCTTCAGCATTTTGAGAATTCTCAAATACACCCTTTTGAGAATTCTCAAAAATTGCCCCCTTCGCACACTCGCCTCTCCTGGTATGACATCTCCGTTCCATTCCATGTGCCTTTCACCGTCCTCCTTCATTCAACTCACCAATATCCCACACACAGTCATCCTATGTATGCACCGTTATCCCATGTCTCATCATCCCAAACCACCATCTTACTCGCCACACCTTCCCTCACACTCACCACCATTCTGTGCTGTACGCACACATCTATCCCTTCCCAAGTCCCCTTTGGCTTTTCTATCCTTAAAACGAATTGTGCCACTTCCACCTACATTTCCACGCCCTCCCTGTCCAGATTACCGCCCTTGAAACCATTGTGGCCGGCGAATCAGATCTCTTCCTTGCGGCGGACGGCAGCAGCCAGCTGGCAGCACTCGTGGCCGGGCGGCGCATGTACTTCGGATCCAGATCAGACAAAATATCTGACTGCGGGACCAGTGGCTGTACTTCTGCCAGCGAATCTGGTTACCAGCATGGTTACAGGCCATCCGTGCGAATCAACCGCGCACAGCTGGCGGAAGATCTGGGCGGCGGGAAAGATTTGCGGGCGGGGGAAGAGTGGGTTGGGGATGCTGAGGAGAGGATAATGGAGTGGGAGGAGGTGGAGGAGCGAGTGAGGGCGATGGTGGGGGAGAGTAAGAGTGTGAGAAAGAGGAGGGTGTCTCGGAGCGTGTACAGGCATCCTCGCGACGAGGCGTGCATGTGTTTTGGGAAGGGGGATAAGGGAAGGGAGGAGTTGGAGAGTGGGGTGGAGAGTGGGGAGTGGGGAGGTGCAGGGGAAGAGGCGAGGGGAGGGCAGAGTCTGGTGGAAGGGAGGGAGGTGAGGGGAGGAGGATTTGGCAGGGAGGAGAGTTCTGGTTCCGAGTCTGGCACTTTGAGGGCTGATAGTGCTTTGGGGGCTGGCAATGGGAATGAGATGGGTGATGATCGGTTGAGAGAGAAGGGGGGAGTTCGGGTCAAGGGGAGAGTGGTAAAGGGTGGAGGAGGAAGCAATGGGCTCGCAAAGAGGCAAGGGCTTCGAGGTGTGGTTGGGGGACGAGGGGTGAGCGCTGGTGTGGATGATGACGTGGATGAAGGGGAGGAGGGGGATGAGTCTGATGTTGGGGGAAACATGGAGAGGGATGAAGAGGAAAGGGAAGTGGAAAGGAGAATGAGGATGGAAGAGAAGAGTATGGCTAAGATGGAAGAGGAAACAGCAGTGCGGGAGGAAGAGATGAGAGAAAGCGAAGTTGCAGATACGATACTTATCAATGCACGTGAAGGAGCACAAGGGATTAGCAACTCCAGCATGTGGAAAGATCCTGAGCTCATGCATACATAATAATAAATGTTTGAATTGTTATTCCTTGCTCTTTTCTTCCACCGACATTGTTACGGCGCCTGCCCAGTTTGCGACTCGATGGATACGGATAATGCTGACGCGTAAAAGCGGAAGCAAAGGGATTGGGGTTCGCAATTTGTCACAAATCCACCGCGAATGCGCTTCCCACATTGCGCGAGTCTCACGATTCCCGCCCGTCTTCGCTTGCGTGGCTCCACCCTCTCGTCGGTCTTCGCCATTTCCCTCGATCTCATCGTGCGCGGCCCCAGTTTCCACCCCCTCCCTCTCGTCTCCTTCCGCACTCCACCCCCTTCATCCCGTCTCCTCTGACATTCCAGTACCGTACCGTACCCATCTTCTCCCCCCTCCTCTTTGCCCCCCTAGACTTTCCGTGCCTGCACTTTCAACTCCCCCGCCCCCCTCTCACTTCACTCCGCCCACACTTTCCCCTCCTGCTGCTTGGGAGATCCGTTGAGCTGACCAAGTCGGACAGCCCCCCACCCTCCTGATCCTCATTCGGATTATCCCAAGGTCTGCGAAGCAGACATCTGGAGCTCTGCTTGGCTGAGAGCGAGAATTGCGAGGCCTCGGGTTGATCCTCCTTGATCCTCCCATCTACTTTTCGCTTTTCTCTTTTTCTCGTCGCTTGTGCTTGAGAGGAGCGGCCATGGCGTCGTTGTCGACCGCGGGGGTCGGAATCGGTCAGAGCACCTCTTCGTTCGTCGCAGGGAGCAAGAGTCTCTCGTGCGGGCGAAAGCAGCCAGCAGCGAGCGTTGCTTTCGCGGGTAATGCGCGTCTTTAGAAAGATAGCACACACACTAAATTTGCTCACATTGAGAGTTTCGTACCACCACGTTGAAACTCGTAACCGCATACAACATATTTAATCGCTGATATAACCTTAACGTATTTAACGCTATGTACACTGGTATCGTTGCCCTACTATGTTGCCATTGATCTACATCCACGCGAGTGAGCCTCTGAACGGCGATGGTAACGCGAGCACGTTGTAGTCAACTGCCTCGGCCACGCAGTAGAATTCGAAGCTAATTATTCGATACCATTCTCCAATACTTTGGCGTCTGCGCTGCTCTTGGCGCTGTGCGTGAATGCAGGCAAGCAGCGGCACGTTGCTCCCATTAGAGCTGCGTCGTCGGGGTCCGGCGGGAATGGCGACTCTAATAAGGAGAAACCAGCAATGCAGGTACATCCTCCCTCGCACGTTTCTCCGCATCCTCCTTTTATGACAACTGAACTGCCCCCTACATCCTCCCCCCATGCCCAATGCTCTCGCCCTCGCGATCCTTCCCAGACTTTTAAGACTGGGTCCATTTCCCCTCTGCTTGCCTCCATGCCCACCGCCTCGGCCCGGGTGTCTTTCCAACGTCTCAGAATCCTCTTTCCTCTCTCGCCTCCCTCCACTCAGAGCCTGTACGACTTGGGCAGCAACCTACTGACGCGCGTGCTGAGCGGCGGCGACATGTCGGGCATGCCCACTGCCTAGGCCTTCCAACGTCTCAAAACTTTCCCCCACTTCTCTCTCGCCTCCCTCCACTCAGAGCCTGTACGACCTGGGCAGCAACCTGCTGACGCGCGTGCTGAGCGGCGGCGACATGTCGGGCATGCCTACAGCCTCAGGCGAGGTGTCGTTTGCAACATCTCAAACGCCGCCCATCCCTCCCTCCCGTCCCCTCAGAGCCTCTACGACCTGGGCAGCAACCTGCTGACACGCGTGCTGAGCGGCGGCGACATGTCAAGCATGCCCACTGCCTCCGGCGAAGTGTAGTTTGTAACGTCTCAAAAGCCGCCCCCCTCTCCCCTCCCTCCCATCAGAGCCTGTACGACCTGGGCAGCAACCTGCTGACGCGCGTGCTGAGCGGCGGCGACATGTCGGGCATGCCCACTGCCTCCGGCGAGGTGTCGGACCTCGTCGGCCGTCCGCTCTTCTTCGCCCTCCACAACTGGTTCCTCGAGGTGCGTTCTCTCTGCTCCCTGCTCCCTGCTCCCTGCTCCCTGCTCCCTGCTCCCTACTCCCCGCTCCCTGCTCCCTACTCCCTGCTCTCTGCTCCCCGCTCTCTTCTTTTGCTCCCTGCACTGTGCTGCAAACGTGACTTCCGAGTTACTCTCATTATCACTTGGAAAGAGGCGCGTCGGACCTCCTCGGCTCGCCGGCTTAACCCCCCTCCTCCCCGTCCCTCGCTTGTAGCTAGGAGGTGTGTACCGTCTCGCTTCTTCCCCAATTCTCGACATCACTCAAAATCCCCCCTCTCCCTCCCTTCTCTCCTTTCTCTCCCTTCCCCTACCTTCGGGCATCCCGCGCAGCTCGGAGGCGCGTACCGTCTCGCCTTCGGCCCCAACCTTTGAGTTGACTCAAAAATCCCCCCGGTCACTCCCTCCTCCCCCCTTCCTCCCCACTTTCCGTCCCATGGCGTGCAGCTAGGGGGCGTGTACCGTCTCGCCTTCGGCCCCAAGGCCTTCGTGGTCATCTCTGATCCAATCGTGGCGCGCCACGTGCTAAAAGAGAACGCCTTCGCGTACGATAAGGTGCGGTGCACTTGTGACGCACCGATCTAATTTGGATCCCACCGAAGTGAGGCATCCGTTCACAAGCTGACCCCATGTGCTCGGCTGCTCTATCCCGCACTTCATACTCTCTCTCAGGTTTTACCCCCTCTCAATTCCTACTCTCTTTCAATTCCTACTCTCTCAATTCCTGCTATCTCTCTCAGTTCCTACTGTCAGATTCTACCCGTTCTCCTCCTACCCGCCCCTTATAAACCAATGCTGCACTCTGCCCCCCCTGCATTGACCAATGCGGCTCCCCTCCCCTCCCCTCCGCGCAGGGCATGCTGGCGGAGCTGCTGGAGCCCATCATGGGCAAGGGGCTCATCCCCGCTGACCTGGAGACCTGGAAGCAGCGCAGGCGAGGTGAGCGGTGGATAGCGGTGGATAGCGGTGGTGAGGGGTGGTGAGGGGTGGAGTGGGGTTGGTGAGGGTTGAGCAGGGTGAAGGGGTGAGCTTTGAGGAGGGCGTTGGGCATGAGGGATTGTCAGCGGAGGAGGAAAGGGATGATGAGCCATCATGCGAAGGGGCTCATCCCCTCTAACCTGGACACGTGGAAAGCACAGGCGAGGTGAGCGGTGGGAAGGGGTGGTAAAGGATGGCTAGGAATGAGGAGGGGTGAGGGAGGTGAGTGAGAGGTGGGTAGTGGTGAGGGGTGGTGGTGGTCAGGAGGGAGGGGTCACCAGTGAAAGGTGCGGGGTAGGGAGTGAGGAGTGAAGAGTGGGGGTTGAGAAGTGAGGGGTGAGTGATTGCAGCAATGCGACAATCATTGCCACAAGGTCGGTCTGGTTTTGAGGCTCAGCAAGGCGCATGAGGGCGAATTGGATCCCATCTCTCATCATCCAGAGAGCGAACTGGCTGGTCATTGCACCAGACATCATCAGCATCCCATTTCTCCCTCTCTGCCGCTTCACTCACCCACCCGCCCACCACCCACCCCATGATCCCCCAGCCATCGTGCCGGGATTCCATGCAGCGTACCTGGAGGCCATGGCGCTGGTCTTCTCAGAGTGCTCCAAGCGCTCTGTGGACAAGCTGCAGGCGCTCGTCTCCTTGCCGCTTCAAACCCCAACACCCCCTCCCACCCTCGTTTTCCCCCAGCCATCGTGCCCGGCTTCCACGCAGCGTATCTGGAAGCCATGGCTCTGGTCTTCTCCGAGTGCTCCAAGCGATCCGTAGACAAGCTGCAAGCCCTTTGCGACGAGGCTGGAGCCACGGCGGGGAGTGAGGGCGTGCGCATGGACATGGAATCAGAATACTCATCCATCGCGCTGGACATCATCGGCATCTCCGTGTTCAACTATGACTTTGGCTCCGTCACGCGCGAGTCGCCCGTCATCAAGGCCGTTTACGGCACGCTGTCGGAGGCGGAGCATCGTGCTACCTTCTACATCCCCTACTGGAACATCCCCTTTATAAGGTGGGTCCTGGAACATCCCCTTTATAGGGTCTGTGGCTGGGACGCGTTTATGGGAGCTAACCCGTTGTAAGGTGTGAGTGGGATGGGTATGGGAACATTCACTTTATAAGACGGGAGAGGTTGAATTGGATGGCATGGCTTAGTGGGCCAGCGCATGACTGAACTGCCAGCTGAGTGGCGGCATGAGTCGCCCGTCATCAAGGCCGTTTACGGCACGCTGTCGGAGGCCGATCACCGCGCCACCTTCTACATCCCCTACTGAAACATCCCCTTTATAAGGTGGGACGCCCTTACTGAAACATACCCGTTATAAGATGGGTAAGTGGGCCGTTCTTCTGGGAGCATCCCCTTGGTAGGATGGGGGTGATTGGATGGCTAAGTGGGATGGCTAAGTGGGATGGCTAAGTGGCCTATCATCTGTTGACTCAAATGGATGTGGATGTGTGCGGTATTCGAGTTGCTACCTATTTCCCACTTGACCTCCACTATTTGCTCCTCCTCCATCCCCATCCCCCTTGTTCCTTTCCCCATCAGCCTGCTGGCGCGGCGCCAGATGAAGTTTCAGCAGGAGCTCAAGGTGATCAACGACTGCCACCCCTTCCACCACCTCTCACCTCCACATCTCCCCTCTCCCCACTCTCTCCCCTCTTTCCCCCTTCCCCCACCAGCCTGGTGGTGCCGCGCCAGACAAAGTTTCAGCAGGACCTCAAGGTCATCAACGACTGTCTCACCTCCTGGCACCCTCTCCATCACCTCTCACCTCCTCCCACCCCCACTGCCCCCTCCCCCTCCACCAGCCTGGTGGTACCTACCTCGCCAAATGAAGTTTCTGCAGGACCTCAAGGTCATCAACGTCTGCCACCTTCTGTCGCCCACGCCCCCTGTCGCCCCCTTCACCACCCTCTAACCCCTCCCCTTCCCACCCCTTCCCCACAAACACTCCGCCAGCCTGGTGGTGCCTCGCCAGATGAAGTTCCAGCAGGACCTCAAGGTCATCAACGACTGCCTCGACGACCTCATCACCCGCGCCCGCGCCACCCGCCAGGTGAGCCACCCGTCGGGTCTTTCACTTGCCAAATGGGCGCGAGGGGACGAGAGGGTGAGTGATGAGCACCAGGCGGCAGTCATCGATCGATCTCTAGGTGACCAACGACTGCTTGGCTTGGACAACCTCATCACACGCGCGCGCGCCACCCGCCACGTGAGGTTGACCGGGCGGAGTGAGGTGAGGGTGAGGCCAAGCGGATGAGGAGTGTGGGAGGTGGGGGCGAGGGGACGAGGAGAGTGAGAGGTGGGTGCCACACGCCTGGTGAGGTCACGGGGGATGAGGGGATTGAGAGGGGCATGGCATGGTAGGTGAGGGGGGCAGCTGTTTTCGCGCCTCTCTCCTCCCTGCTGCTTCTCCCCCAGTCCACTCCTGCCAGGAGGTTGATCTAGAGGCCCTGCAGCAGAGGGACTACAGAAAGGAGCACCAGAGGCTCTATGTCCCTCTCTTTGGCATTTACTCTCCCTGCTCCCTGCCGCTTCGTCCTTCCCTCCCTGCTACGCTCCTCCCATTCCGCAGGAGGACGACCTAGAAGCCCTGCAGCAGAGGGACTACAGCAAGGTGCGGGACGCCAGTCTGCTGCGCTTCCTGGTGGACCTGCGGGGGTAGGGGACAGGACTCTATGTCCCTCCCTTTCGCCTCTACTCTCTCTGCTCTCTGCCCCCTCACGCCTCTCTCCTGCCTGCTACTCCCTCCCTGATTCTGCTCTCCCATTCCTCTCCTCTTGTCAGGAGGACGACCTAGAGGCCCTGCAGCAGAGGGACTACAGCAAGGTGCGGGATGCGAGTCTGCTGCGCTTCCTGTTCCCAAATCCCTCCCTCTCATCTCCCTCCCTTCACGTGTGTCAGGAGGACGATCTAGAGGCCTTGCAGCAGAGGGATTACAGCAAGGTGCGGGACGCCAGTCTGCTGCGCTTCCTGGTGGACCTGCGGGGGGAGGACTGCGATGACAAGCAGCTGAGGGACGACCTCATGACCATGCTGGTGGCTGGGCATGAGACCACTGCTGCTGTGTTGACATGGGCCACTTACATGCTTGCTCAGGTGCGTGGGGATACACATGCGCAAGTGAACATGATGGATGCACCAAGCAGCAGCTGAGAGACGACCTCATGACCATGCTGGTGGGCGGGCATGATACCACTGCTGCCGTTTTGACATGGGCCACCTACATGCTCGCTCAGGTATGACATGGCTTTCAAATTGTCTCAAAACTCGCTTCCTGGTGGACCTGCGGGGGGAGGACTGCGATGACAAGCAGCTGAGGGACGACCTCATGACCATGCTCGTGGCCGGGCATGTAACTACCGCTGCTGTGCTCACCTGGGCCACCTACATGCTTGCTCAGGTGTGTGGGGAGTGGATCTACGGAGTATTTCTAGGTAGGTAGTGGGTGGGTACATAAGTGCACATGCAGGGAGGACTGCGATGACAAGCAGCTGAGGGACTACCTCATGACCATGCTGGTCGCTGGGCATGAGACCACTGCTGCTGTTCTCACCTGGGCCACCTACATGCCCGCTCAGGTATGGCATGGCTTTCAAATTGTCTCAACTTGCGCGGGGAGGACTGCGATGACAAGCAGCTGCGCAATGATCTCACGTGTAAAGAGGTTATTTTTGAGACATCTCAAAAATGACCATGTAGGTGGCGGGCTATGTGACCACCGCTGCCATACTCACCTGGGCCACCTACATACTCACCTGCCGTATCTTGGTAAATTGCTCGCGCGGGCACAAGAGGCTAGGCATGCTGACACAATCAGCTAGCTGCCTGCATGCTCGCTCAGAAATGAAGTGTTGGGCGATGATTCTCTCTTCTCGCATTCCTCATTACCATATAAATTTTCTTTGAGACTTCTCCTAAAAAAATCATTTCACGTCCTCATTGCCATCCAGCCTCTTTTCCACCGCGGCCACATGCGCTGGCAAAGCTATCGGTACGGGTTGAGATGGACAGAGTGATGGCACTGAATCCCTCCCCCTTGATCCCTTTCCATCTTTCTCTCTTTTAACACCATTCGCAGCACCCACGCGTGTTGGCGAAGCTATAGGAGGAGGAGAAGGTTGACAGAGTGCTGGCATCCTTCCCACTTGACTCCTTTCCATCTCACATCGTTTTCTCTCAACCTTCTTCCCCCTTCCCACCCCTCGCAGCACCCGCGAGTGTTGGCGAAGCTACAGGAGGAGGTTGACAGAGTTCTGGGCGACCGGCTGGCCACGCTGCAAGACATCAAGTCCCTCGAGTGAGTGCCGTGCTGCACTTTTCAACAGTCCCCATACCCCATACTACACTCAGCTCCCTCGAGTGAGTGCCGCACTCTCAAGCGCTTGCATACTTTTGAGACTTCTCAAATGTGACACAGACATCCCAGGCGTTGGCTCCCGTCCCAGCATCATCCTCCATCCTCCAGCAATCAAGTTCCTTTACCATCACCATCACCCACCCCTTTCTCTCGTCCCTCTCTCCCGCTCCTCCTCTCTCCCACTCAATCTCCCCCATCCCTCTCTCACATCTTCCCCCCTCCCCCACACCTCTCTCCCCCGCCCACGCCTCTCTCCAATCTCCTCCCCTCAGGTACACGCGCCTAGTGGTATCAGAGGCTCTCAGGCTCTACCCCCAACCGCCGCTGCTCATTCGCCGTGCACTGGCCAATGACCATCTGCCATGTAATCAACCCTCCAGAGCCGAGATGCTCTTCCAAGATTCTCTGTCGGGGTTTAGGTAGAACTGTCTCATGATGCTCGAGGATATTAACAATTGTTTCTCTGTGTGCATGCAGTGCATGAAAGGACAGGACATGACAAGGACGTGCCACGGTACTTCATGCATGTCCTTGTCATGTCCTGTCCTGCTGTCTTGTGCAACGAAATTCGCCTCCCCCTGCTGTCTGTCACAAGCAGCTGCTGCCATGCAACTTCTGTGTGGCCCCTCTTCACAGCACCACACTCCATAACTGATCCCATCCCATCCCTACCATCTCATCTCATTCCCCACGGCCTTCTCCGTGTCCCCATGGCAGCTGGGTACAAGGGTAATCCCGAGGGCTACAATCTTCCCAAGGGCACGGATCTCTTTGTCTCTGTAAGCTGCTTTCACCCACCCAGCCCCCGTTTGAGATATCCCCAAGGGCACCGACCTCTTTGTCTCATGGAGACTCCTCTCCCGCACTCTCCCCTTTTGAGGCGCCTCAGAAGTATTCCCGAGGGCACATACCTCTTTGTCTCTAGAAGCTACTTTTTCCACACTGCCACTCACCCTTCCTCTCATGCTCTCTCACTCCCCTCGTCATTCGCATTCCGCTTTCACCACACTCTCTATTTGCTCTCACCTCTTGTCTCACTGCTGCTCCCCATGCTCCTCCAGCAATCAAATGCTAAGTTTGCATCCATGCATGCAATGAAGAGCCGTCAAAGCAAAGTCAGCATCAAAATAAACCGCTCTACTTTCCTCTCCTCGTTCCCTTTAAACATCAACCGCTCGCCGCACTACCGAGAGCAGAGAGAATGCACTTTAGCTTGAGTGTGCTCTCTTATCCTCCCAACCCCTCCCTCAAAACCCCGTCCCCCACGTCCCTCCATGCCCCAGTGTTCAACCGCGCTTCTGGGAGCAGAGAGAATGCACTTCAGCTTGAGTGTGCTCATTTTTCCCCAACTTTCCCCGCCCCGCCGCTGTTTGATTAGGTGTTCAACATCAACCGCTCGCAGTACTGGGAGAAGATACAATGCGCTTCAAGTGTTTAATGTGCTCTCTTGACCTTCGCCCCCAACCCCCCTTCAACCCCCCCCCCTCCCAGGTGTTCAACATCAACCGCTCGCCACCCTTCTGGGATAATCCCGAGGAGTTTCGAACAGAGAGGTTCTGACATAACAACCCTCACCCTACCCTCACCCCCTCCACAACCCTCCCTCCTCCCCCCCGCCCCTCCGTGCTCAGGTGTTCAACATCAACCGCTCGCCGCACTTCTGGGAGCAGATACAGTGCACTTCAAATATAGTGTGCTCTCTTGATGTTCGCCTCCACCCCCCCCCACAACCCCCACACACCCCCCTCCCGCCCCGCCCCTGCCTGCACAGATGTTCAACATCAACCGCTCGCCGCACTTCCGAGAGCAGAGAGAATGCGCTTTAGCTTGAGTATCCTCCCAACCCCTCCCTCAAACCCCCCTCCCCCCTGCCTGCACAGGTGTTCAACATCAACCGCTCGCCGCATTACTGGGAGAATCCCGAGGAGTTTCGGCCAGAGAGGTTCCTGGAGAGGAGGAGTGGCGATGGCATCCCCGGGTGGGATGGGTACGACCCTGACCGGCTGGCAGGGGCTCTCTACCCCAATGAGGTGCGTGCGTGTTAATGCATCACTATAAGGCATCACTATAAGGCTGATGGGCTCTAGGCACTATGGGGCTCTGCAACGAGTGGCGACGGCATCCCCGGGTGGGAGGGGTACGACCCTGACAGGCTGGCAGGGGCTCTCTACCCCAACGAGGTAAGGCTACTGGGACTAGTGAACTGTGTGGGCAGCCAGTGTGCTCGCTTAACCACTTTGTTCCTCCCTACACACACACACACACACACACACACACACACACACACACACACACACACACACACACACACTCCTCGTCTCCACCACTCACTCCTTCCCTCCATGCATCTGATTTCGCCTTCCTGCCTTTCGGAGGCGGGCCGCGCAAGTGTGTGGGGGATCAGCTCGCACTGATGGAGTCCACAGTCGCGCTCGCCATGATCCTCCGCCACTTCATCACGTGTCTCCACGGGCCTCTAGAGGTTACTGAGACGGTTATGGGGGCCACCATTACAGGCTGATTTCTTCTCTTCTCTTCCACCCTCCCCACATCCCCCACCCCCCTCCTGCCGTTCCCCATCCCTCTGGTTCTCCCAGGTGGCATCTGATTTCGCATTCCTGCCATTCGGAGGCGGCCCGCGCAAGTGTGTGGGGGACCAGTTCGCGCTGATGGAGTCCACAGTTGCGCTCGCCATGATCCTCCGCCACTTCAATGTGCGCCTCGATGGGCCGCCAGAGGACACAGAGATGGTCATGGGGGCCACCATGCACACCAAGTCGGGGCTCTGGTGCCGCCTCACACCCCGGGAAAACAAGGGCGCCGCTGCCGCTGATGCTGCTGCTGCTGCTACCGCGAATGCGTGACCTATGCCGCTTCAACGTGTCTACTTTTGAGGCGCCTCAAAAGTTTTATGCTGAAGCTGCTGCTGCTGCTGCTGCTGCAACCGCGAATGCATAATTCTGTGCCGCTGAAACGTGCGCCTCAAATCAGGGATGGTTCAGCCTGCTGTTCAGAGGACACAGATGGTTATGGGGCCCACCATGGAGACCAAATCAGGGCTCTGGTGCCGCCTCACTCCGCAAGAGAGGAAGGGTGTTTCTGCTGCTGCTGATGCTGCTGCTGCTACAATTGCGTTGCGAGTGCATGATTGTGGGGAGTTAGTGTGCTGTGCTGTGGCATCCATTCAAGTGCTAGAAGCTGTGCTGCTTGCTGCACCAGCGCTGCTTTGAATGACAAACTACCATGTTGCGGAGTTGAAAGTGTTGTGTGTTTGAAAGGGATCATTCCATGCTGTAATGTGCTTGCACACGCTCCAAAGAATGCATGTTAATTTGATGCACGTACGTACCTACAGCAAGCTTGCTTCTCTGGCCTTTTAGGGAAGTGAACTCAATATATTTATCATTGGAGACCATAGTACACTTGGAGAGCCGATAAGCAAGTAATGAGACTAGCATCGCGGTTTAGTTGTTTGATCCGCCAATATTATTGAAGCTGAGAGCACGACTGCATCTCATGACTCTGTAGCCACTGCTGCCTAAGCTGTTGCCTCCATTGCTGCTGCTGCTGGTGCTGCTGATGGGGTCGTGGCGAGCAAGAAGCACCATATGCCACCTTCTTCATCCCACCTGTCCCACCCATTCTCTCGTTATTTCTTATACTTGACACCTGCATCAAGCCCTGAACCTGAACACATGCCTTCCGTTCCATTGGCTGAAAAGTGGCTGCTCTTGCCATGCCACTCTCGCTCCCCCTTCCCTGGAACGAACCACCATGTACCGCACTCCACCCATGCGAACCGTGGCAATCGGAACCACACCCATGCGAGCCAGTGACCGAACTACCTAAGCCACCATTGTGATGATGATGATGATGAAGGTTATGATGGGGATGATGATGATGGTGAGAAGACGCATGTCCGTCGACTTGGTTGACTCGAGAATCACGAGCAGAATCTGCAGAGCAGCAGGATTCAATATGAGATGCAGATTTTCCTGGATCTTCTGATAATCCTGATACCCCTGAGACTGCGGTGACTGCTGAAACTCCTGAGACTGCTAAAGCTGCTGAGTCTGCTGCCTGTGGCGCATGCTCGCAAAAGCTGAGCCCAAACTGAGGAAGGCTTGACTGTGACAGCCAGCGTCTGTGTCTTGCAGGTACTGAGGGTGAAATGCTGCTATTGCCCTTTGATAACACCCTGCTGTTGCTGCTGCTGCTGCTGCTGCTGCTGCTGCTCTTTCCAGCACCGTCCCCTCCTCGTCTTGCCTGGATATCAGCACCCTTGGTGCAAACTCCGAGAGCATTGCTGCTGGTGTGCAGACCAAGGGACGAGCAGGAGTTGGAAAGAGCAGGAGCGGCATGCCACTGCAGACCAAGCGACTTATGAGCCGAGTCAAAGCTTCTTCGCCCGGTGTGGTGATTCTGCCACTCATGGCCTGACGAATGCTGCGGCACAGGCAATGGCATGTCCAGCAAATGGTCCTGCTGCAAGGAAGTTGGGATGTCCAGCGAACGTGATTGCGGCACAGGCGATGGCGTGTCAAGTGGGGGCGTCTGCAGCATGGAAGGTGTAATGTCAAGCGAACGCGACTGCGGCACAGGCGATGGCATGTCAGAGGACCGTATCTGCAGCGCAGACGTGCCGAGAGACCGTGTTCGGTCCACACCGCGGCGGGAAGCAGCTGTCCAGCTAGCTGGCGATGGAGGCGAGAGGCTGTAGAGACATGCCTGCTGACTGCTGGGCTGCTGACTGCTGGGCGGCTGACTGCTGGGCTGCTGACTGCTGGGCTGCTGACTGCTGGGCGGCTGACTGCTGGGCGGCTGACTGCTGGGCTGCTGACTGCTGGGCGGCTGACTGCTGGGCTGCTGACCAGCCTGCTGGGATGACAGCGGATTTGACAATCGTGGACTCGATAAAGGCACTGTAACCAGGCTGGGCCGAGGGGTGCTTTCCGGGCTTGCAACTGACCTTTGCATCGACTCTGAAGTTACGAGGCGTATTTGAGGGCTGCTCACAGGGGTCGCAGATGGGCGCCTGTAATGCTTAAGCACGTCAAGTCGGCTCTGCTCGTGCCTGAGCATGTGCCGCTCGCACTCTCTGCTATCCTCGCACTCTCTGCTATCCTCGCACTCTCTGCTATCCTCGCACTCTCTGCTATCCTCGCACTCAGCCAGCGAGCGCGAGAGGGCGACTGTCAGTGCAGCATGGGTGAGAAGATGGTCATCAAGAGACATGGCTGGGAGGCTGGAGTGCGAGCAACGGTGTAATCCCACCGGGCGATGCGTGCGCGGGTAGGGCGGTGGTGACGGGGAGAGAACGGGCGTATTGGGAGGGGAGCGAAGACCCGGGCTGGGAGGAGAGCGAAGGGACGGACTCGGAGGGGACCGAAGAGACGGGCTGGGAGGTGAGCGAAGGTCCAGGGTGGAAGGAGAGCGAAGGGTTGGGCTGGGTGGTGAGACGTGTTCTACCCGAGTTGGTTTCTGCATGTATTTTTTAAACCTCTCCTCAGCCTCCTGCCGAGCGGACTCTTTACGTGAAAAGGGGGGATCGCCGACTTGCTGTTTCTGCTGCTGCAGCTTGCTAGGCTTCGGTGTTCCTGCTGTGGGGGCGACAGCAGTAACGGCTGCTGCTCTGGGGAAGGCTGCAGGTGCACTTGATACTGCGGTTCTGCCCGCCGCTGCTGCTGTAGTGAGCTGCCTCAACCGTATGCTGGCTACTGTTCCGATGTGCCCCAGATTGTGCGGGTTACTTACCCCACTGTGCACGACTTTCCCCCCACCGTGTGCCCTGCCACTCCCTTTATTGTGCTCGGTGGAGTGGCCATGTGTGCCAACACTTTGGGGAGAACAGGTAGATGGTGGACGGGGGGAAAGACTACTCTGGTCAAACTGCTGCTGCTGCTGCCACTGCTGCTGGTGCTGGTGGTGGTGGTGCTGCTGCTGCTGCTGCTGCTGTTGCTGCTGCTGCTGCCGCTGCTGCTGCTGCTGATGCTGCTGCTGATGCTGCTGCTGTTCAGTACAGAGAGCCTTCAAATTACCGCCTCCGTGTGTCACGTCAGCAAGCGTGCTTGTATGGGGGGGCCCACGGGCAGCTGTAGATGACGGAGATGCTAACTGGTGCTTTGAGACGCCGCTTTTGCAGCCGCCATTGCAGCTGCCAGCAGTAGTGGCACTGCCGTGGCTCTGAGACGCCAAGTGCTGCTTTGAGACGGCGGCTTTGCAGCTCCCATGGCTGCTCCCACGGCAGCTGTCAGCAGTAGCACTGCCATGGCCCTGAGACGCCATAGAGTTCGCCAGCCGTGACGTCTTTGGCGCATGGGTCGATGTGATTAAGGCGACTGCTCCCTGGTTACAGCGACTCCCAGAAGACATCACCCGCGCTTCTTGCTTCAACACAGGCTGCTTCACTCGAGCTGCACCATCACCTGAGTTCACACCATCAGAGGTGGTTGCTGGAACGCCTTTCGCAGTTTCACAATAGCCTTCCGTATTTTCACAGTCCGTTACTGCTACGCCGCTCCTGGCGGAGCTCTGTCCGCCGGTCGTCATCACTTGCGGAACGCCAATTCGGATGCTCCACTGCGACGCGATAAGTTGACGCGCCCACTCTGAGTCCAACAGTTCGGTGTCCTCGTTACCGTTGTCCTCGTTATCATTGTCCTCGTCACCGTTGCACTCCATACCGTTGCACTTGTATTCAATACCGTTACCATCCTCCTTAGCATTATCCCCGTTACAACTGTCGACTTTATCGTTCTCGTCGCCAACAGCATATCCCATGGTGCCCTCGCTCTCTTCTGCAAAGTCCGTTCCCGCGCGGACCGAGCGGTAAGCGGGATCGCTGGAATGAAACGGATGGGTTGATGTGACGAACAGCGACACCAGATGCTTCTAGCATCAGTGGTAGTAATCTTGAGCTTCTGATACCCGTACTACTAGCAGTTATGGCGGCGGTACTGGAGATGTTGGAAAGGGTTTCATGCAGTCAGCAATCGTTGAAAGTCAGTGCTTCAACCGTCGCATGAACAAACCACCGTTGCGCTATATCGGCTGAACAAATCTCGAGGTAAGAAAGACTCGAACAAACCGCCGCGTGTGAAAGGAATCTTGACGAATCGCTTTCTCTTTCAATCGTGGGAAGTTGAGCAGAACGCACCCGTGCGCTGACGAAAAATAGTCCTAGATATCCTCGAGCCACCATTGGCGCTTAGCTGGCATAGATAGCACGGATCGTGAGCAGCGGATGCGCCATCGTTACTTCAAGGAGCTAGATGGACACAGCAGGTACTAGATACGGCCGAAAGAACCGGATGGGAAAAAAGAGATTGGCGCGGGTTTCATCTGCCAGCGTTGCGGAGAAAACGCGGCCAACATGACTCAGACAAAACCGGCCAGGTTACATCTGCGACGACGACTAGATCTAAGCGCGTTACACGCGGCGTGACAGCGTATAACGCATCGTACGTGGCCATCTTGCCAGATGTGTACACCTGGGCTCCGGTAATTTCAGAATGTGGGCACCGAGCCGCGTCCTTGTCGTTTTGCCCTGGGGTTGAAATTGGGGGGAACAAAAAAGTTCCCTCTAATTTCAACACTCTCACGAAAGATTTCGGGGTTTCGGACTCTTCTGAACGGAGCGAAAGCGGTTTTATTCGGTTAAAGGTATCGGAGGGTTGTTGGGAGGACCGAACCGCTCTCAACCAGGAGCCACAGATGACGACAGGGGCCTTGCAATTAGGGGGAATGAAATTATTGGAGCCCAGGTGTACCGCGGCTGTCCCTCGCACGCAACATCCAGCCTAGATGGTGGCCATGGAACCGCGGGTAACGGCGTTTCTAGTGGAGCCATCGTTCACGTGATCAGCATCTAGTGGGGGAGGCTCTTAGTAAGGGCTCTCGTGAATAAAAAAATCGTGAACTGTCAATCATAAGTCAATCATGACACATGAACCATGAATCTGGGAGCCGTGTAAGGCGACCCTACACAAATCACATGCTCTTCGGGTGGGATGGCGTCTAGCTGGGTCGGAGCTGCATCCATGTGCCTTGCAGATCCAGCCGAGCACACAGGGTGCAAGTGGGAAAACCTAAAGCCGCGAGACACGGCTTGATTGTAATCGACTATAAGCGTGTTCAAAGTACTGCACAATTCGACGTCGAAGTATGTCGGTGAATCCTGACGGTTGGAACCGTAGATCCGAGGGTTGACATTCACCGACGTTCCTCGACGTCGAGGGATGCAGTACAGTACTTTGAACATGCTTTAAATAACAAGGTGACCAAAGCCCGCGTGCACGTACAGTAGCTGCCGCTGCACGTTCCAACAGTGCGAAACGCATGCTGTGATGTGACATACAGAGCGACTCGCATCGGGCGTTTACTCCGAGTTTCCGGAGGACAACTGGGCGAATGCCATGAAAATTCCAAAAGGGACATGCGGCACTGCGACACACAGAAGCCAAGCCAAGCCTGATGTAATGCAAGCTTGCCCCCCCCTAATCACACATCAATCTGCTGCAGCTGTGGGAAAGCTATGATTGAGCAAGCGGTGGAACCGTGGAAGGAAGGAGGTGCCTGCGGAATGGAGGGAGAGGCAGGGACTCGGGGAGAGGGGGAAGGAGCGGGGGAGGGGAGGAGGAGGACTAGAAACGGGGTGCGGAGCAGGAAGGCTGAGGAGGAGGTTAGTGAGCCTGTATTGATCCGATACCGTACTGTAAACACGTGTTTCATATCTACAACTTTCAAAACCTATTACAAACCTGCCAAAAACGATCTCGAGGCCGATCGATTGTGGGGGAACGGGGATGGAGGGGGAGGCTGGTGGGTCGCAGCTGGGAAGGCGGAGAGGGGGAAGGGGGTGCAGCACGTGCGCAAGCACTGATGGTGAGGCTACAGCTGGCACGACAGAAGCGAGGAGGAAGATCGGCCTGGGAAGGAAGGGGCTGGGAAGGGGACGCTGGGGGAGAGGGAGGGAATGGGGGAGGGAGCCTTGGGAGTGCCAGGGTCTAACGAATCGCTGCCGTTGTTTGGCAAGGGAAAATGGAGATTCGACGGATATGACGACAGGAGAATGAGCGAAGGCAGGTGCAACCGGGGACGGTAAAGTGAAACTCTTTTGAGGGGGAAGCTGGGGGGAGGGCTACAGTGCGCACTGGGGAGGTGGCGGTGGGGGCTGCCGCGTAAAATGAAAACTCGTTTGCCAGCCAATTCCTCCAGGCCAATGGCGAAGCCAGTGGGCAAGCCCCGCGCCTGCGCACTGGGAGGGGAGGGGAGGCATTGCGCGTGACGGGCAACGGCGGTGCTGAAGCGATGAACGGGCAACCTGGTGATTGTATTTCCAATGTTGTTTTTGCATGAAATAACTACAGTGTACTATCTACATATATTCTATGTACAACCAGTACAAGCGAATTCATACATTGCAATATTAGACACCTTGTGAGGCATGCCATCCATAGGCACATTGAAGCTAGCTTCCCATTGTCACCTCCTACCCTTGTTTCTTTTGTTCTTTCTTAGCTTTCCTTGCCGTGTGTGCCTCAACTTCAGCTAATCCACGCAAGCGTATTTGTTTGCATTTTCTTTGTGCAGCATCTCCTCTACCCCCCTCCCCGCTTTCTCTCCTCCCACCTCATTCTCTGGCTCCTGTCTAGCCCTCCATTTTATCCATCCTCTCCTCATTCAAACATCGACCCCTTTCTCCCTTACAACCTCTCCCCCATCTTCCCCTTCATTACAACCCGCTTCTCCCCCTCCGCTTCTTTGTTCCGCATCTTTCTCAATCCTCTTCTCATCTTCTTCACCAGCCCCCTCCTTCACCTTGTAAACCCCTGCGGCCCCCTAACACCAACATCCTCCCTGTTGTCATCCTCACTCCCCAGCGGCTCAAACTGTCCGTCCTGCTGCTGCCCAGCCCGCGCCTCTGAATCCCCTCTCAACTCACGATCGTCATTACAAGCGTCACTACTGTTGGTGCTCTCGGTCAGCTCACTCGGACCACTCGCCTCGCTCCCTGCCTCCTCCACAACCTCTTCAATCTCCCCTCTCACCTCTGCTTTCGGATTCCCATCAGAGATCCCATCAACTTCTTCAGCCTCGTTCCTTCCTTCTACCAGCCCACCAGATCCTTCCCCAGGTCCACTTAATCCCGATGCTCGTGCATTTCTCCTTTCCTCCCTCCTCGCCTTTTCCTCTCTCATCTCCCTTCGTTCCTCCTTGCCTTTCTTCTTAGCCTCCTTCAACTCTTCCCTCATAACCGCCAGCTTGGCAAGGGCCTTCTCCAGCTCATCAAGCGCACCAAGCCCATCCAATAAAACCGAATCTTCCATCGCCACCCCCACCTGCTCCAGCCGTTGCTGCACGCATAACTTCGCCAAGCGGCACTGGGAGAGAAGAGACAGAACCAGCTCTCCCTTCAGAGCCTCTTTTTTCTCTGTAACGCTGACTGATTCACATGAGTCGAGAACACTTGCCAAGAGCCCGGCTGTCTCCATCGCCCTTGCAAAGTCTTCCTTCAGATGACTCAGTTCCAGCTCAGGCCATGGAGTCTCACTATCACCCTGGTCCGGAAAACCCTTTTCTCCTTCCTGTTGCTGTGCTTGTGAAATGATCAGCACTCGTGGGATGCGCTGCCGAGCCTGGTCACGAGGTCCGGTGAGGAAATCCGCAGGCATGGCGATGATGTCCGGACGTGGGTCGGAGGTTTGGAGGTGCCTTGGTGCTTCACAACATAGGTTAGGATGGTGAGATGAGTTGGATTGGGGGTGAGTGGAGGTGGATGGTGGTCCTGGTGGATGGAATGGGGAGGAGGAGGAAGAGACTGTGATGCCTTGCTCCTTGAACGTCTGCAAGAGATGATGGAAACGGGAAGAGGAGGTTTAGGACTTTGGTCTGCATCAGAACCTTCAGAAAAATCACCCGTAAGCACACTCTTGACTGAACTATATACTATTTCAACGGGTTAGGGTTAGCTTTTTACTGTTTTTCCACCTACAGAGATGACCATGATACGGACAATGACAGGATGACAAAAACACCAAGCCTCTTTTCACGCTGTGCCTCCGTGTAGGAAGCTGCACAGTCAACGCACCCTGATTGCTTCTTCGAAGTCGGGCAAGTATCGCGTTTCCTCCATTGTCGCCCACTTCGTGACCAGTCGCACCACATTGTCTCTCACGCGGACCGGCGTCTTTTTATTTCCCGCCATGCGCACCATCTTATCCAGCACGCCTTCGCGCGCCACGTCCTTAAGGATATGCGGCTCGCTTGAGACCACGTACTCGGCGACGGCGAGCGACAGGAGATGCACGTGCGCGTCGTGCGTCGCCAGACGACGTCGCAGCGATCGCATGACGTCGCTTCCACGAATCGTGTCGTTTTCGAGTAAAGTCGAGAGTTGGAGGGCGGTGGACCAATCAGGAGCGAGGAGCTCCGCGTTTGTCGCTTTCTCGACAAGTATATCGGCAGAGCCTCGAGAGATGGAAAGGTTGAACATTCTTGTAAGAGAAATATTTATCTGTCTCCGGAGCTCAAAACCCTAAGCACTGCACTGTTTGGTGGTAGTAACACCGCTCAACGACCAGAGGAGAAGCACAGCTCAACTACTAGCTAACTGCGGAAAGTGTCCGCTTCTCCAAACGCGGCGGCAGTGGAACCGTTAATTGAAAAAGTCGAGAACGCGGAAACGTATTGACTGATACGGAAGGCGGAGTCCCAAAACGTCTAGACCAAAGTTGCTGCCCCACAAAAGCCTTCACAGGAAATATATATTCTGTACAGGGATTGTGTCTGTGGAGCGGAGTTGTTTCAGGAGGAGCAGCTTGGAGGGGGGGAACAGCGTGTGGCGCATACAGCAGGAAGATGCCCGCGCCTGGAAGGTTGCTGCGAGCGACTAGTCGCGAGGAAGGTGGGATGGGAGGTGGCGGGAAGACGGGAAAAATGAGACGGGGGAGGGAGCCGTACCTGACAGCCGAACCAACTACTTGTGCTTCGGCACGCAGGGTTATGGCGGGTCATACGAATCACCCGTAGGTTTGGGAGAAATCGGATGCGTGTGTTCGTTCGTAATGGAGATACACGTGGCAACAAGTATTTTGCTGCCTGCAGACACGTCGGCTCTGGGGGATGGCGGATTGGTTCGTGGGTCAAGACCCTCGGCGGCATGTTCAGCCAGGTCAAGAGAGTCATTTCCTCGATAGCAGCACAATCCACAATGTGGAACAAAGCTGTCTTTGGTATATAGTCTTCCTGGTTTGGGACTGCATCGGGCTTATCATATAGTTCATGAATCTGATGACTTATCTTATCCGTCTGGTTTGGTATTACACAAAGATATGGACATGTTTAGATAGAACCACCTCACACACATTGTGCACTCTTTCACGAGATCACACCATTCTTTTCACAATTGTTTCTGCACCACCAAATCCACAGAACAGAAACGCATCTCTTTCTGTTTCAAAAATACACCTCACTCGCTCTGTTCTCGCCTGCCTGTTCTGCCCTTCCACCATCACCAGCAGAAGCAGCAGCAGAATCACCGCTGCCCTCCGCTGTACTAGTTCCACTTCCAATCCCACCCCCACCCTCCAACACGCCCCCCACTCCTCCAACAGAATTAGTCCCATCCTTCACTTCTCCACCCTTCACCACGCTTCCCTCCCCATCCTTGGCTTCCCTGCTCTCTTCGTCCCCACCACTTACCCTACCCTCCTCTCCATCCCCTTCCAAGGACCGACGGCCCCTCCCTCTCTCCAACGCCTCCCCTCCTCCTCCTCTTCCTCCTCCTCCTCTCATACCCTTCATCCTCACCCTCCTCTATGGTCCCTCCTGTCCCCACCCCTCCACTCGCACCACCAACCCCCTCTCCTCTGCACCCTATCACCCACTCAGCAACCTTCCCTGTCCCATCCCCACTCTCCCCAGCACCCTCCCCTCCAGTCCTCCCCCTCGCCTTCTCCCTCCCCTTCCCTCTAGTATGTTTCTTCTTTCCCTGAGCCCCCTTCACCTCGTCCCGCATGGCTGCCAGCCTGGCAAGGGCGGCATACACGTCATCAACAGCAGCGAGCCCGTCAAACAGGAGCGAATCATCTGCCAGCACGGCTTCTTGCTGCAGCAGCCGCTGCAAGCCGCGCTTTGCCGCCCGGCACTGGGCTGCAAGCGACACCACAGCCTCGTCCTGTTGCGGAAATAGAGGGAAAGGGAGGGAGGCGAGAGAAGTGTGAAAGGGCAGGCGGGAAGGCGAGGGGAAGAGGGGACCATGATGAGAATCAGTGTCGTCGTTATCAGTATCGGGTTGGCTGTGGAATAAGAGGGAGAGAGACAGTCATCTGCCAGCACGGCCTCCTGCTGCAGCAGCCGCTGAAAGGAACGCTTGGCCGCCTGGCACTGGGCGGCAAGCGACACCACAGCCTCGTCCTGTTGTGGAAGTAGAGAGAGGGGAAAAAGGAGAGGAGAAAAGGAGGCAAGACGGAGAAAGAGAAACAGAGGCAGGAAGGAAGGAGAGGGAAAGAGGGACCATGAGTAGAAATAAGTAAAAAATAAGCTCAAGAAGGAGCATGATCTGCCACCACTGCTGCCTGCTACTGTGATCACAGCAAGTGCTGCCGAGACACCCGAAATAAGGCTTTCGAGGATGCCACAACGCTTGATTGTGGGTGATGGAGGGGTTTTCAAGTGTGTTTTTTATTGTCAAGGCTCTGGACTGCCATGAATGTTGAGAGTCTGGGCTGCCATGAATATTAAGGCTCTGGGCTGCCATGAATAACAAAACACTCCGTTTTGGGTGAATCGTAAGAAGAACGGCAGGAAGAAATGGAGGCTCGGGTATGAAGATGAATGGGAAGAGAATGTAACAGTGAAAGAAGTTGGAAGATTGTCAGATCACTTTGAGAGTCTCAACGGCAGCATCTCAACGGCAGCATCTCAACGGCAGCATCTCAACGGCAGCATCTCAACGGCAGCCTCCTCTTTCCACTATCTCCCCAATCCCATGTCCTCTCCACACTCCTCTACCCACACCCACCCTCCATCTCTCCCCATTCACTCTCGCACAGTGTCCTTTATGTCATCGCAGCCAATTTCAATCCCCTTGAAGATTCAGCGGGGTTTAGGGTTTATATGGTGTGCCTCACAGTTTTGGGGCAAGTTTTCAAGTTCCTAATGATTTTGAACTGCTCCTTCCAAATGTATACCCGAGCTTTAATAGACGTTTGACTCCACTCAGCAGTCACCTCCCCACGCCACCACATGACTCACCCTAAGAGCCTCGGTTGCGGGTGCTGATGTGAGCATGGTATTGAGAAGGTCTGCAGTGTTCCTAGCCATTGCAAACATTGCCTTCGGATCCGAATCTCCCTCCCCTCCCGCACCCATCCACGCTGCCTCCTCCGCCTCCTCTCGCTGCAGCTGATGGTGATTGTGATGATGCTGATGATGATGCCTGTGTGTGTGGTCAGTTCTCCCTCCACCTGCAGCAGCACCAGCAGCACCAACAGCACCAGCAGTGCCGCCGCCACCACCAGGCGTGACAAACCTCACGTGCGGTGTGGTCCGCCGACCCTGCGCGTTAGGTCCGGCACGGAAGTCCGCAGGCATGGCAACGACCTCCCGGTGCTGGTTTGCTGGCTCGGAAGGAGGTCTGGTGATGTAAATGCGCCCTGCCCCTCTATAGGCGTCTCCGATAACGGATTCGAAAGGGAGCAGCCGGGGGATTCGCTGAGGGGGTGTAGCGACCACAGGGAAAGTCACCCCTTTCTCCTTGAGCTCCTGGTGATGGTGATTATAAATAGAAAACCAGGGGGGCGGAAGGGAGGAGCGGAATGTCTTGAATCGACTCAAAAGCAGCTGGGGGTTGCGCTGTGGGGGTGCAGTAACCACAGGGGAAGTTACCCCTTTTTCCTTCAGCTCCTGGTGATGCTGATGATAAAATAAAACCACAGGGGCAGAAGGGAGGAGGGGAACATCTTGACTTAATAACCCAAAAGCAGTCGGGCTGTGCTGAGGGGGTGTGGTGACCACAGGGAAAGTCATCCCTTTCTCCTTGAGCTCCTGGTGATGTTGAGGAAAATCGGGGGGGCAAAAAATGTGTTCTGGTGTGTTCACAGAAGGTGACCACAGACAGAGTCACCCGTTTTACCCTGATTCCTGATTATGGTGATGGAGAAAGAGAGGGGATGAGAGTGGGCGGATACTTTGGGTTGACTCAAAAGCAGTCGGGGGATGCGCCGAGGGGGTGTTGCGACCACAGGAAAATTCACTTCTTTCTCCTTGAGCTCCTGGTGATGGTGAGGAGAAACGGGGAAGGGACAGGGAGGAGACAACAGAAACTTGACAGAAGGACGAGGCAAAAGTCGCCCCTTTCTCCTTGAGCTCCTGATGATGGCGACGAGGAACAGGGAGGGCAGAAGGCGTGTTTTGAGTCGACTCAAAACACACGTGTGCTGAAGGGGTGCAGATACCACAGGGAAAATCACCCTTTTCTCCTTGAGCTCCTGATGATGATGATGGGGAGAAGGCATGGGGTGAGGGAATTTTATAGTCGACCAAAAAAGGTGACCAGAGGGGAAGTCAACCCTTTCTCCTTGAGTCCCTGATGATGGCGATGACACGAAAATGGAGGGAGGAGGAGACAAGAGAAAAAAGGCGTGGCAGGGAGATGGATTGGACGAGGCGTAGTTGACCCCTCCCTCTTTGAATGATGCTGCAGGGTTTTTTCGGGGAAACCAAAAAAAAAACCTGCAGCAGATTGGACGAGGCGTTGTTGACCCCTCCCTCTTCGAATTGCTGTGTGGGAGGGGGAAGACGGGCGCATGAGAAGAGGAAATGGGTGGGGAGAGATGGATTGGGCGAGAGGAGGAAGGAGGAGCATGGAACGTGACAGCAGAATGGCTTGCATGGCTTTCACGGATTGCATGGCTTTCACGGATTGCATGGCTTGCGTGGCAGGCAGCACAGGTTGCGCAGTAGACTGGATGGATGGGCATGGCAGCATGGCTGGTCATGGCAGCATGGCTGGTCATGGCAGCATGGCTGGGAATGGCAGCATGGCTGGTCATGGCAGCATGGCTGGTCATGGCAGCATGGCTGGTCATGGCAGCATGGCTGGTCATGGCAGCATGGTCAACATGCTACACAGAGGGGAATGAAAATCAGGTGCACTTGAATAAGGCCAGAGGCAATTGCCGCCCGCAAGAATGGCATTCGCTGCTGGCGTTACAAGGTGTAAATAAAGAAAACTATATACACATGAAAAATCACAACGAACCAACAAACAGATCTTCAATATCAGATGAACTGCCAAGAAAAGATCTATATCATACACGCTTGCACCGGCCTTGTTTCAGAACAACCCCCAAAAGGCGTGACGGCGCAACATCCAGCCACTTAATGGCCTTTCCTTTCAGGAAATCCAGTGCTCGGGTGTATTACCCGTTGCACTGAACCCATGACCCCTTAATCCTCAAATCAACGAACAACGATTTTTACATTCCTTCCTATCATCTCCTCTGCTCAGGCCCATTTCCCCGAAGGGGTTAATGGCACATCACGCAGCAACTGAAAGGGTGTGCTAAGCTAGAGGGTCAACTCAAGGCAGTAAGGCTAGCAGCACATCAAGGCTGCAAGGGCATCGCATTGCTGCAAGCAGAACAACAAGAAAGGCACATATGGGCATTGTTTACATGGTGTTTGAGTGAAATGACGACTCTATCCAATTTCACCAAGTTTCTTTATGTCACAAATTTATTGTACGTTTCACGAACTGTTTGCATGGCGCCATAGTTAATTGGCGTATCCGAATTCATCCACTTCTCTCTCCACATTTCCAACACACCAAATCTAGTTTTAGTCTCGTCTTCACTACATTTCTCCACACTCCCTTTACCATAAACATCACCTTGGTGCTGTAGATAGATACCAGCCCTTCATTTTCCAGCTCCACCCCTCTTCCTCTTTCTTTTTTCATCCCCCCCTCACCTAAACGCTATTTACGTGTAAATGTTGCCGTTGTACCCCCTTCCCCTCTCTCCTCCCCCCCTCCCCCCCCCCCCCCCCCCTCCCCCCCCGCCAAAGTCTTCCCCTGATCCCCCACACCATCCGCCACTCATCCTAAACGTCTCTTCGAATGCGGGGAAGCATCGCGTCGCCTCCATCGGCGCAGTGCTCATCCCCCATCCCCACCACACCCCACCTGCCACTGATACCCACCCCCGCACCACCCGCCACTCACCCTAAAAGTCTCTTCGAAAGCGGGGAAGTACCGCGTCGCCTCCATCGGCGCAGCCCACGCCTCGATCAGTCTTAGAACCGTCTCTCTGACGCGCGCCTGCGTCTTAGGCTCCACCGCCATTCGCGCCATATCTCCTAACACGCCTTCCCGCGCAATGTCCCCCAGAACCTGGGGCGCGCTTCCGACTATCGACTCCGCGACCGCCAGCGCGAGCAGTTGCACGTGCGAATCGCGCGTCGCCAGGCGACGTCGCATGGCCCGCGCGACGTCGCCGCCGGGAACATGGGCGTTCTGGAGGAGGTGGGAGATTTGCAGGACGGTGGACCAATGGGGAGCGAGAAGCTCTTCCGCCGTGGCGCGGTCTACTAAAATATCCGCCTGCGTGGTCGGCAGAACTAGGTCTTTGACGCGCTCGCCGACAACGGAAACCTGTTCCTCCAATCGGCTTCCGACAGCTGTCGCCGCCTCCGTGACGCGCTTCCCCAGCTCCGCGCTCGATGCGCGCACGCGCTGCCCGACGGCCGCGAGCTTTCCGCGCCAATCGCCGCCAAATGCGGCGCCGGAGGAGGAGTCCCCGGGACGACTGTACGCCGTTGATGCTCGTGAAGAATCTCGATCGGACGGTGATGAGCTCTGCTGGCGAGCCTGCAGTTCTTGCTGCTGTTGCTGCTCGTGCTCGTCATCACCGCTCGCCTGGTGTGTATCTAACAGCGGAACTTCGTAATCCATCTCGGCTGATCTAATATTCCAATCCAACAAGGTGAGAGAACCAGAGGATGATAGGAGAAGAACCTTCTCTGGTAAATCGGCTAAACTCTTAGCAGTTGAAATGGTTGACAGGAGATTCAAATCGATGGTGAGTTCTAGCGAGCAATTGTGGATCTTTTATCCTTGAAACGTGTCCTACGCAGACCGTGGGGCGCACGGCATGAGAGGGGGGAAGGTCAGGGAAGCGAAGAGAAGCACGAAGGGAACAGGGAGGAGGGAGCAGCCAAGCGAGTGGGCGAGCAAGTGAGCGACTAGTGAGCGACTCAGCGAACAATTGGGGCGACAACCAGCTTCTCTACCAACCAGACATCGACTTTCCCAAGGGTTGTGCGAAAGAGGGAGTTCCCCCTCCAGGGTCGCGTCTATCTGCTGACTCGTCACGAATCGCTGCTTGCGACTGTTGCCAGTTTCGTTCGGCAAGCCCAAGGTGGAAGTGGGAAGGGAAGGGGGACCCCAAAACGAAAGGGGTGTGGCGAAAAGGGACGCGGTTATTGGTGTTTACCGCTTTGGCAGTGCTAGAAACCGCACTGTACCTTTCAGTCACGGCCTGGTTCCTTCATGCATCGGGTGGACTTTCTGGGCTTGACGGATTTGAACTTGCTGGGTTTGACAACCAAGAACCGCGGTGCCCATTCCATACCCGTGTTCAGTTTCGGGCTTGTCGAATTGAACAACGCGTATAAGGGTCGAGAGTCTACGAGAAGTTGCTCAAGCTTAGTGGTGAGGGCTTCAGCCTTCTGTTCAACTGGAAATACAACCTAACAGATTGAAAGCCATCCATGATTACAAACTCACATTGCAATTTATCCAATAACATCGGCTAACAAAAAACGTGAAGAATATAGCCAGCACACAACAGAAATGTTTCAATCCCCGAAGCTACCGGTATGTGAAGTTGCAGCTCAACACAAAAATCCAAAACAGTTGTCTCATGCAACAGAATCAGCCAATGGCTGACGCAGTCACACGGAAAAAAATGCAATGCTACGCACTGATGCAATGCTTGTGCTGTGTTCATGGCGCAAGCAGCAACACCAGTCGAACCAGAAAAACCCAGGCTACGTCTCCACTTCTGAGAGAAGAAAAACTTGTCCGTGCAGAAGGCAAAAGTGCAGCAGCAATGGGGAATCAAGAATGGATGCAGAGGACGGGGAAAAAGAAACATTGCACGGAAGTGCTCGATGGGAGAGAGGCGGAGAGAGGGAAGAGGGAGAGGAAGGGGATCAGAGTGGAGGAAAGGAGTGGTGCGGAAAATTGTGGAGATGCAAGTGGAAGGGGAAGTGAGTAACAAAGCATGCGTTGCGTCTCAGGTATCAGCTGCTGCACTGCCACAACCAGTGGACCCCGCATACGCACCCGCAGCAGCAAAAGCCCCGCCTCCACCCCCAACCCCACCGCCAACCCCAGCCGCAGCCGCAGCCGCAGCCGCAGCCGCAGCCGCAGCCGCAGCCGCAGCCCCAGCCCCAACCGCAGCATATGCCCCAGCCCCAGCAGCGTAGGCCCCAGCACCAGACGCAGCACAAAAGACTCCTCCAAAGTCGGAATCAGGGAGTGAAAACATGTCATCGCAGCCGGGAAGCGGCATGGGAAAATCCATGTCCTCCATGTGAAACCCCATGCCCATGCCCATCGCAATCCCCATCCCCATGCCCATCTCTGCATCCATCAGCGTCGCCATATCCTGACTGTGTGAATCGTCCATGCCATGCGCATGGCCTTCACCCATCCCATGGCCATCAGCCATCCCATGGCCGTCAGCCATCACATGGGGTTGAAGCATGCAGTTGCCATGCACGGATTGGTCCAATGGGTCGTCATCAGCATCTACCAGTGTGCTCGATGCCACTGCCACGTCATACGGACCGGAACCCACCACTTCCACTTCCGCTGCTGCTGCTGCAGAGCCAGCAGCCGACATTCCCCCCGCATCCTCCTCCCCTCTACCCATTGGCTGCTGCCTTTGCGCACCTGCAGCCCCCTCGCATGCTCCCATTCCCGGACCATCCTGGCTTTCTGCAGAGTTTCCTGCAGGGCTGCTGCGCGTGGTCTCCTTGGCCCCTGCGGAACTGCCAGGGGCCTCCGGGCTCCCTGATACAGCGGAGTTCCCAAGGGCGTTTCCGCCAGCCACAGGCGCAGGCACCTGCATCTCCTGTGCTCGCTCCCCTGCTGCTCGCTCCCCCGCTGCTCGCTCCCCCTGCGCCCCACACTGTGCCTGCGACTGTGGCATCTGCTGCTGCTGACTCAGCTGCTGCACCTGCTGCAGCATCTGTTCCCGCGTCAGCTGTATCCTCTGCGCGTGCAGCTCCTGCAGCACCTCCTGCTTCAACTCCTCCTTCGCCTCCTGCTGCTGCCGACCCCACGCCGCCCCTGCTGTCCCGCCGCCTCCGCACTCCCCTGTCTGCGCCATCTCGCCTGTCGACCGCACACCACCTCCTCCAACCGCATGCGCATTCTGATCATAATTATTCTCAAAACAGGCCATTACTCCTGTACGCCCCGCGCTGCCTACCCCCCCACCAGGACCCTCTCCGCCCAGGCGGACCCCTGCTGCCTCGCGGAGTGACTCCTGACTGGCACACGTCAGCCCCCCAGCATGCCGCTTCCCTGGAAACTTCTCACCAGCTACCCTGCGCGCAGCAGCACGAGACGGAGTGCCCACCTCGTACCCACCACCGCTGCCGTCGCACAGCTCGCCACCAGCCGTGCTCTGACTCCTGCCACCAGCAGCGGCCTGACTCATGCCACGGGCAGCGGTCTGACTCATTCCACCACCCTCTAAGCTCGGCGCCCCCATGGGAGAATCTGCTGGGTCTACGCCAAAGCTCCGCTTCATCCCTACTCTGACTCCCCCCAATCTGCCCATCCCCGCCCCAGTGGTCATCCCCGCGGCGGCCATCCCCCCAGCGGTTATCCCCCCTCTGCCGCCCTTCTGCGACGCCTCGAGAACCATCGGGGAGCCTACCCCCCCTCGCCCAATCCCCCCTGCGTTGCTCGCTCCGCCTGCTTCGCCGGCTGCTCCCCCTGTCCGCCTGGACTGTGCGATCTCCTGCGCGATCCTCCGATTGGCCAGCTGGCTCAGGTGAAAATTCAGGTCGCGGTCGGACAGAGCAGCAGCAGAAGGAGCAGAGGCGGCAGGAGCGCCGGTGTGGGTGGTGTTGGCGCGAGTGGGGGCTCTCACCACCCGCGGGAACACCGGCGACTGCGCGTCCGTGTGGAGAGAGTAGGATCGGATAAACTGCCTGTTCCGCGACCCTGGCGGAAGCGACGCAGCAGGGGCGGTCGGCGCGGAGTTAACTGGCGCCAACGCGGAGGCAGAGGGCGCAGGGGACGGGGCAGGGGCAGTGGCGGCAGAGTTGGAAGGAGGGCCGGGAGTGGCAGCAGCGTGGGAGGGTATAGGAGCGGTCATGGCGGAAGCGGGGGAGCTGGGGGGGACACGGGAGTTGGACAGGAGGGTGTTGTGCGGGCTGGATCGCATGGCATGGCCGGCCATGGCGTGCCCTGCCATGGCGTCGTGCCACTCCATCGTTTCCCTGCTTGCTGTTGAGTTCGCCCGTCTCAATTGCAGCAGGTGCTGCTGCTGCTGCTGCTGCTGAAGCTGGTTCTGCTGTTGTTGCTGCTGGTGCTGCTGCAACAGCCGTTGATGCTGCTCGAGCTGAAGCATCTGCCGCCTCCGCTCCACGAGAGACAGCTTCTGTTCCTCTTCTAGACTCTGCTTCGCCTCTAGCTGACGCTCCTGCATCATTTGATGATGCTGCTGCTGTTGTTGCAGCTGCTGCTGTTCCTGTTGCTGTTGCTGTTGCTGCTGCTGCTGCTGCTGCAGCAGCTGCTGCTGCACGAGCGCTTGCATCTGCTGCCGCTGTAGCTGCTGCATCTGCTGCTGCTGCTGCTGCTCCTGCTGCTGCTGCTGCTTCTGCTGCTGCTGCTGCTGCGCCTGCTGCTGCTGCTGCTGCTTCTGCTGCTGCTGCTTCTGCTTGGAAGTTTCCAGAGGGTACAGAGCCATGATCCTCGATATCGTCTGCAGTGAGCTGGCCGAGATATCACCTCTCCCGCCGCCATGACTCACACCCCCCAGAGCACCTCGCAACGAACCTGGACCCGAGCCTCGTCCCGAACCTGGCCCCGGACCTGGCCCCGGACCTGGCCCCGGACCTGGCCCCCGACCTGGCCCCGGACCTGGCCCCGGACCTGGCCCCAGACCTGACCCCCGACCTGGGCCCGGACCTGGGCCCCGGGCTGGCCCCGGTTCTCGCCTCGGGCCCGAGCCTTGGCCGAACAGCTGCTCCGGCGACTGCGGCGCCGCCGATTGCAGGCGGAAGGGGTATGCGCCAGGTGCGGAGAGCATGGGAGACGCAGCAATCATGGGAGACGCCGCTGGGTGCTGGCTATTCCAAGAAACCGCTGCGTTCATCCCCTGGAGCAAGAAGAGCGCAAGGGAGGAGACGGCGAGGGCGAAGATGAGGGAAAGGCAGGAGGGGAGCAACAACCATATTCCCATCGCAACGCACGCAATTCTCGTTTTAGGACGTCTCAAAAGCAACACATGCCACAAGAGTGCCTTACCGAGCACTTCACCACTTTACCACCGCTTTACCGGCCAACAGCATCCTCTTCTCACCTGCGCGTCGCCGCTTTTGACGGCCACATTCGAGCTTGGAGGCACTGCGCGCCTGTCGGCCGGTAAGCTGACGGCGGCTGACGGCGCCGTCTGGTTAACGGCTACCGGCGCTCCCCAACTTCCTGCGCTTGCCCTTCCTGCGGTATCAATCCCTGCGGTAGCTATTGGCGGGGTAACGATTTCCGAATTCGGAGATTCTCCATCGCGAGAAGCACTCTGGAGTCCGAATTTAGGAATTACCCCCGGAGTAGGGGATATTCTTGAACTCGGGTCCGTTAACGGATTCCCCTGACTCGCTCGTAACCGCTGAATCGCCTCCGCGGGAATGGCATCGCTCGAGAAGGGTAACAAAGGAGCTCCTGAAGCGACGTTATTCGGCGACACACGAGGTAATACTACGGCCGGCCTAGGTGTTTGAGGTTCCGCCGGCTGAGTAGATTTGTCGGGATCCGGCGCGGCGAGAAATCCGTGAGCGGAAGTTAAGGCGCCACCGCCGGCGGTGGAAGTGGAAGAGGCGGGTTGGGCTTTTTGCACTTGGAGAAGCGGAGGGGGTTGAGCCATGTCGCAACCCCATAGCTTCGCCAGGTCCGCTGCGGACGGGCAGCCCGTGAAACATTCGAACACGTGACGGCTGTGGTTCGCGCCGGACGGATTTGCATTGTGCGACGCGAGGTCACAGTTCGGGCAGAGAGAAAGGTTTTCGTCCCGGCATCGCATAGAGGCTGGCTCCGCGTTGCATCCGTCGCAAAGCAGCGTGCGATGGTGGCGAAGGGAGAGATTATTCGCAGAATGAACTACTCGATCGCATGAGAGGCAGAGCCTAGCGGAATCCGCTTTACAATAGACCGTGGCTCGGCCTTTTTCGCAAAAATCGCAAATGGTCTCCATTGCCGATAAGACCAGACCCTTGGTCGGATAAGATGCTGAATTTTATTTCATCCAAGGTCGTGTAACAGTCGGTAGTCTGTTGTCGTCTGGCGTTAAAAAAGCACACACACACAACTCCCTCACGAAAAACGGCTAGAACGGAGTGAAATGATAAACGCAAAAGCTAACGATAGAATACAGCCAGAAACTATGGACGACGGTGGTCTTCTCACAGAGTGTAAACGTGCCATTGCAAACATCAATAGATCTAACCCTAGGGTTGCAGAGTTCAGTTGCCCTTTGTTTACAGCTCACACACCTGCAGTGAGACTCGAATATCTTTGGGGAAAGGGAGAGAGGGAGAGGGAGAGGGGAACGATGGGCAGGGATGGAAGACAAGGGAAGGGAGAAAAGCAACTGAGGGGTAGAGGAAAGGGATGGGGGAGGAGAAGATCTCATCTCATCCGTGAATCCGTGATCCATTCCGTCAATTATCTAGTGGACAGGACTCTTGGGGAAGCTGAAAAGGGACCACAGACGCGTGGGATCATGGCATCCCCTGACGTGGCACGGACGCAGCACACGCCTCGTGTATGGTCAGACGGGCTCCGATAAGTTCCATTGCTGCTGGTGATAGGGGGGTACACAAAAAGGTTTCAAACTGTAATGTTTAGAAAACTGGCGGCGACGGACGAAAGACTGACCGCGCAGGACAACCAGCCTGACCGTTTGCGCTGCGCTGGTTCAGTTTCCCCACCTCCAAACCAAACCAAAAGCTGTTGGTTTGGATATGTTCAGCGGCAAGGGGAAAAGGTGGGGAAGGGGATTGTTTGTTCCTCACTCCCCCCTGCCCGTGTTCCTTTTTGGAATCCTACCGCCGCAAGCCACCACAGGCTGCACTCTGTTCCCCCAACCCCCTTCAACACAAACCACTCAACCAAAGCCACACCATCCATGGGCTGCCCCACAAGACAATGGAGGGCCGTCGACCAACATCGTGAGATAGAGCACTACAGGGTGGCGTGGTGTGGGCTGGTGGCGCAGTGAAGGAACGAGTGCCAGTACAGTTGGAGATGGTCGGAGTTGTCTCAAATTCATCCAGACCAGATCTGGAGTATTCGAAAACATTTTTCCTGTCTGCCCCAGGTGACGGCCTCCGCATCTATCGCTGATGCGCTGGCAGAAGAACGCCCTTCATCCACCCCAAACAGCCATGTGTTGTCCTGAAACCTTGTCGGATTGGTTAGGCCTGGATTGCGTCCAACAAAAACTCTTAGGGCGCGTTTTTTTTGGATTTAATTGCAAAGTTCATGTTTTCTAGTCGATTTTTTACGTTTGAACCTAGGTCGACCTGTACTCGAGTATCTCAAGTTTTGGGTCCCGAGTCGCGATTTTTTCTCCCAAAAATCACATGGCACATCAAAGTTCGACTTCATACAGTAGAACCCGAGTCGCGCCCCAGTTTTGTAGGTTACCCGATTTGAAAACGTAGCTCGTAAACTAATCCGGATGAAGTAACGAGGTACGATGTCGTTCGTTACTATCGCGAATGTCGCAGATTCACTGTGCATGAAAAGAAGAACACACGTTTGGCTAAACGGGCACGTGAAAATTCGACCCCAGTTCATTGTCCCTCTGTTTCATCAATCTTTAAACTTGAAAACACGATTATCGCAAACAGCTTTCAACGAAATTAACGAAGCCGGTTACCACAAAAAGACACGCGCCCTTACCTGACCATGTGGTTAGGCGGGTGGTTCATTCAATAGAGATCGATCATGCCAGCGATGGCAAACGCCATGTGCAATCCGTTCAACCGCTTTGGATTTGAGACCCTCAACATGAGGGTCGTATGACTCATGCATACAATAGAGGGCCGTAAGGGGAAGGGGCTGACGGACTGTTATCTTCCCGCGGTCAGACAAAAATAAACCCCATCTGGATGGCATGCGATTGAGGGAGCCTCAACCCTAAACACGGGTAACCGCATGTTTTTGCCGGCAAGCCGACAATTTTTCCTCAACCGTCTATTGCATGCATATGCAAAGCTGCACTAGCAAAATCTGCAAGCGTTAGGTAAAAGCCGGTCAACATGATGTGCTTCTCAGCGCCATACGTTGCTCGATTTGATATTCTGGAAAAAGGTACCAGAGCTTGTTTTGCCAAGTCATCTCGCGCCACGTGATCCAGATGCTACAAGCTCGGTGTTGGTTGGGGGTGTAACCTTCCCCCACATGCACGTGCAATGAAGTCCGTCTAGAATCTTCTCATGGTTTGAGGGGTTTGTCAGCAATTACTTCCATCCTCGCTATATCAATTTCCATGAACTCGTCATGAACTCGTCTTTAATGCAAAGATGTTATGCGCTATACAATAGCACACATGACCTAAATAGACATATGCGTTTACGGGTTGAACTGTTGATAGTAATTTAAATAAGTTACAATCTGAGATTTTGGATTATGGCACATCATGATTTATACGATGCATGACAATGTGAGATACAGTTTTCTCTTGTTTCTTTACGGACCCGAGTCCTCTTGGCGAATTTTTTAGGAACCTTGGGTTGGGAGCTGGGCACTGGGGACATACAGGTCCTTGTCAACAACTGCTGTCACTGCTGTGACTTGATCATCGCGCTGCCAGTGCCGTGTTGCTGCTCGAGGTGGACATGTCCGTGGGGATCGTCGAAAGGCGAGCACGAGAACGGCGATGATCTCGAGGAAGCAGTCTAGGAGAAGCGTAGCGTCGGTGAAGCAGTGACAGTACTCCTCGGAGGAGTCGATCATTAGTGCATAGTAGCGGCATCGCATTGACGAGCCTATTTTTGAGTCGACTCAAAATTATGAAGCAGTGGCAGTACTCCTCGGAGGAGCCGATCATCAGTGCATAGTAGCGGCATCGCATTGTCAGCCATGGTCGGA